CCAGCAGTTTTGGAGACACCTGTGCCATGTGATGGCCACTAGAAACAACATCCGAAATGAAATGGAGCTAGCCTGAGCCGAGAAGGCATGCTAAATGTGCTGCCAAGGGCAGAGCCAGAGAGGTGAATGCAGCCCCTCGGGATAGCCAGAGCCTGTGAGTGAATCCCAGGTGTTATAGCCAGAGCCTGTGAGTGAATCCCAGGTGTTATAGCCAGAGCCTGTGAGTGAATCCCAGGTGTTAAGCATTGAGTCGTTAGCACTGTTGGAGTTTGGTTTTTGCTTTGGACTGTGATTGTGCCCTATTTCTTCCCTCTTGAAATAAAGAAGATACTTAACTTATTTTTTGATATTGTAGGAGCCTGCAGTTGAGAGATTTTGAACTTTAAAAAAATTTTAAGAGCGTTATAAAAATTTAAATAAAAAACTGGATATTTACTTTAAATATTTAAATGTATAAGGTTATGGGACATTTTAAGTTGATAAAATGTTATATTATGAGGTATTTATTAATATGTAATCTTAAAAAGTAAATAAAAGGATAAAGAGTTAGGGCTAAAGAGTTTGTGGGCACCCAGCAATAAGCATCAGAAGCTGGGGAATTCCCATCTTATGATGCAGCCAGAAACACCTAGGAAGTCTGGCAAAGAGCCTATGGAGTGTCTCTCCTTATCTAAAGTCTTTTCAGGCTAACAGAGACTGACTTAAGAAAGTGTGTCTGGCCTCCTTGTTTTTGTTAATCTTGTTAAGCTTTAGAATCTTTGATAAACTGAATCATACAAGAAACTGTGATATTCTGTGATGGTACACCATGAAACAACCAGGAAAGCAAAGTTGCCAGTCTCCCTATGGGCTATATTTATGATTTAAGGTTTTATTTTGATACTAAAAGAGTTTCAATTCAAAAATTGTTTTTTTTTAAGGCTAAACCTGGCAGGGGTAAACATGCAAATCTAATCTTACAAAAGCTATTAACTTATTGTAAACTATTAAAGATGATTAAGGCATGAAAGTTAATACTTAGTCATGTTAAAAAAATGATCAAATTCAGCTGGGCTTTGGTGGCGAATGCCTTTAATCCCAGCACTGGGGGGGGAGGGGGGGAGGCAGGTGGATCTCTGTGAGTTGGAAGCCAGACTGGCCTACTGATCGATTTCCAGGATAGGCTCCAAAACAATACAGAGAAACCCTGCCTTGAATAAAAAACCAAAAAAAAATTCATAATTTTTAGTGTGTTCAGAACTATACTTGTAGTTGTGCTAAGTACTAATGTAATTAGTTACATTAGCATCCTAAAGCAAACAACTAAAAGCAAGTAAAGTTTGTTTAAAATCAGGTATACTTAATGGTCCTCACACTCTTCAGATATCTGCTGAATATGGCATCTAAAATGTTTAGTGGGAAAAGCTTCCTGTGGTAGACAGAAAAGCCAGCTCCTAGCGGCAGCTCTAAGATCTCCAAGGAAGACAGATGGGCACAGACCTGGATTGTGGCGATGCTAACCACTGGGGAAAATTGCCCCAATGACTCACCTGCTTCCAGGGCCCTGCACTAACTGTGGATAGTGTTGGGCTGACTGTCCTATTCTGCCTAAGGCAAGGTAGGCTAATTTCCCCAAGTTCCTTATCCACAGGAAAATCCATAGCGTTTGCTATGACTTGTGGGCATTAGTCTACTCCAGCTGTTTTACAGACAACTCTTAGCTGTTTTTTCTTCAATGTGGATTTTAGTACAGATTACAAACAGGGGAAAACTTCTGTTCCTAGTCTGTATCTGTCCCAGCAGATTTCCACTCGGCTGACAGACACTATCCAGGAATCAGCCATGAACTACAAACTACTCCAAATGGCTGTGAGCCCTGGACTTGCTGAAAGCTAATGTGAGCCAGTACAGCCCATGTGATTGCTCCCTGTCTCTTCAGCTGGGTCAGGGAGCCAGATGCTTCTGATGATGAATGCTCCATTGCTTGAGTGCCTGCCCAGCCTTTGACTAGCATTCCAGCCTTCCAGGGTCCTGACAATGATGTCCTAATCAGCAGGAAGAGTGTATGTCACCCCTTATCCTCTATAAAGGGCTGGAGTCAAAAGAAAACTCCCTGGCAAATGACTACCTATAGTGCCTAATAGCAAACCAGAAAAGGTACCTGCTAAAGCCAAATAGGTCCAGATCTATCAGCAGAAGGACTAATTAGCTGAAATAGTTCCACAATATGATAGAACACTCTACCTGCTGTATGTAAAATAAGGTTATTGAATGTCTTTAAGAAAAAAATTGTTTCTACACAAACCATTTGGGAATCATTAGCGATAATCTGGTTGTACTAAAACAAAATTTCAGAAAAAAAATGACCGGAGATGAGATAAATGACTAGTTCCCATTCTCATTTTTGGGCTTCTCCTAGATAGTATCTCTGATGTCAGCCATCGCAGAAGAGGTTCTGGTAATTGCTAATAACCTTGCATCATTAATGCCTTAACTGGTGTGGTGATTTGAAAGACAATGGCCCCCAAAGACAGTGGCACTATTGGAGGTATGGCCTTGTTGGAGTACGTGTGGCCTTGTTGGAGGAAGTGTGTCAATGTGGGGGTGGGCTTTGAGGTCTCCTTTGCTCAAGCTATGCTCAGTGTGGTATATAGTTCACTTCCTGTTGCCTGTAGGTCACAGTGCAGAACCCTCAGGTCCTTCTCCAGCACCATGTCTGCCTGCATGCCATCATGATTCCCACGATGATGATAATGAACTAAACTTCTGAAACTGTAAACAAGCCCCCAATTAAATGTTTTCTTTAGTAAGAGTTGCCATGGTCATGGTGTCTCTTTGTAGTAAAGGAACCCTAACTAAGACAACTAGATACATAAATGCCCATCTGGGTGCCATTAAAGTTGATGGTTAAAGATCCTAATATGTACAGGTACCTAACACAGAGTCAAGGATTTGACTCAGGATACAACTCAAGCAGGGAATGTGAGAGCTAATGCTATGTTTTAAGTTTAAATTTCTATCCTTAAAAGATCTATAAAAACAAAAAATGCCTCTAACCTGTAAGTACCACTTGCCCAATTTTCAGATAACTTCCTAGAATGCTGGGGGATGTTGTTCAGGTAAGATAACAAGCCCTGTGCTTTTGCTTCTGTAAACAAGCTTGATTGCCCAACTGCATGGGATATGCTTGACCACATGCAAGTGGGAGGTACACAGGCAGGAATTGTGTCAGGATTATGCTTGCCCTTGATTAGATGAAGGTGGGAAATCTGTATCCTTGTGGGTTTTGCCTTTATAAGTCTCTGACTAATGCAATGTGGGGTTGTATAATTCTGGGTATAGATCATCCATGGACCTGGTCAATATTTCATAAAACTTGCTTCAGATTTGTCTCAAAATTTATGGTAGTGATCTTTTCCTATCCAGTAGGATTAACAGTCAGTGGACAATTTATGTGAGCTGGGCTTCTCCTTCTATCACCTATGTTCTGGGGATCAAACTCAGGTCTTCAGGCTTGGTGGCAAGCACCTTTATCTGATGAGCTATCTTGCAAGCTCTAGAATAAACTGTTGTTCTATTTGGAGCAAGATCTGCGTTTTATACTGTGTGCTCTCTTCCTTGACACAGCATCTGCCTTTGTCCTGTAATACTTGATCTCCATCCCAGGGAGAAAAAGGACTCAGGATCTCAGCTCCATCTCCAACTCCTCTGTCTTTCCAGAGACAAATAGGAAGAGAAAGAGCATCGCTTATGGTCACAGTCACGGTGAGTGTGTGTCAGGATGCTGGAGTTAGAAGTAGGGCACAGCAGTGCACACTTTTGTTTTTGTTTTTCAAGACCGGTTTCTCTGTGTAGCCCTGGCTGTCCTGGAACTCACTTTGTAGACCATGCTGGCCTCAAACTCAGAGATCCACTGCCTCTGCCTCCTGAGTGCTGGCACTAAAGGTGTACACCACCACCTCCCAGCTGGCAGTGCACATTTTTAATCCCAGCACAGGGGAGACAGTGAATTTGAAATGACTTAACCTCTCTGAGCCTGCTATAGATGGAATATGAAAGCATCTCTCTTATGGAGTCTTTATGAGGATTAAGTGACAACACATACAGGGCTAGTAACAATTTCTGGGTCATAGTAAATACTCAGTAAACACCAACTGTTAATGCTTTTGCTATGTTGAGCTACAAATGGCCATGACCGAACACTACCTGCCACCCCTGGGCCAGCCTACTTATTAGCTGTTGGTGATGGGCAAAATCACCAAGGCTCCTTTTAGCATAAACTTGATGCCTAGAGAGAAAAAGTGGCGCATCGGTGGAGACCAACAAATAGTAGCTGCAGCTACAAGCCTGAGGCTGAATGAGAACAGAATGTGGAGGGCTGCTAGCCACAGAGGCCAGACATCATAAAATGAATGGCCCTGAAGTCGCAGGCAAGCGTCTGAGGGCAGAAAAGAGTCTGCTGCTTTCAGCTGGCTTAGGACAGCTTGCTTGGGCTCTGGATTCCTCTCTCCTGCAAGCAGAGTGTGTGGGAGACTGAGACCCAAACCCTCTCACCGCTGGCCTCCGATGTCTGGTTTCTGACTGCCACTGAACCTCTCTCGCCCTCACTCTCAGCGCAGCCCACATCCTGCTGCATAACCACCACTCTGGGGCTTCAGGCAGCTGCCTCCAGGGCTGGAGTGAGCTGAGCTGCACTGTGAGGCTCTTCTCCACTTCCCGCGGCTCTGGCAGCTGGTGGAAGCCCTTGTCTCAGCCCCAACTCTCTCTGCACCCTCCCTTCTTTTCTGGTATCTCCACCTGCCTTCCAGGTCCCATCTGTCTTACTCATTTTATGGAATGACCACTACTCCATCACGGGCCACCCGTCACTCTCGGCACCTTTGATGATTTGACACATGAGAGGGCTGCTAGTGCCCACCCCCTCCAATAGGCAAGTGTTGCATTGAGTCCCCAGGGAGAGTTTGAATTGCCCTAGGACATGGGCTACTTCTGCGGACCTTCCAGAAAAAAAGGAACAGTAATTTTTCTAGTCAATACACTTTATTGCTTTTCCATTACAGAGAGGAGTCGGGTATGTTTGTGGAGATGCAGATGACTATCCAAGGACTTAAGATGGAACCTGGAGAGGAGCTCATGGCAGGTGCTGGACCAGGACCTCTGCCAATGATCACTGAGCCTATCCCCAGAGAAGGGTGTAAATCACATAGTTGGAAAAACAGAAAGCTATAGGAGAGGGTTGGGGAAGAGGGCCAATTTATATGCAGGGAAAGGAAGGGAAGTGATGGCAAAGATAACATCGGTGCAGAAGGAAGGAGCTGGCAGGGATGAGTGGCTGGATTAAGCATCCTAACAAGATGGCTGGCTGAGGATCTGACCATCCATGTTTCAGAGGATATCGAGGCAGCAATGTCCTAATACTGGATACTAGCAGAGGCAGCAGGAGAGGAAGCAGAGGCAAGGTTCCAGATATGTTCACCAGGTGGCTAAAGAACAATCCTGTGGGGTCCACAGTTTGTCCAGAGAACAAGGAACAGCAGGGTGCGCAGAGGGCTGGATTTGGGTCCATGGAAGGCAGTGTCCCTCTTATCTGTCAGACTGCTCTCTGATTCAGGCCAGAATACAGGTCCCGCTGACCTTTGCGGATGGGCTAAGGATGGAACAAGAATGGGGGTTAGAAGGGTGGGAGGAAGGACGGAGGAAGGAGGAAAGGCATTGGGATGTTGGCTGTAGTGCAGGTAAGACCTCTGGGCTTGGAGTCAGGGGGAGTCCAGTAGTAACTTAGCACAGATTTGAGCCAGCCACTTCCTTCTGGAGTAAGGGAGGATGTAAAGACTTGCCTCTAGCACTTCTGTCAAGGTTAACTGGAGCTACTGAGGGAACACTAAACACCCCGTTCTTGGTGCTCAATTTTATTCAATTCGTCCAGTATGATAGAGAAAATCGCTGTTTTTTTGTTTTGTTTTGTTTTTGAGACAGGGTTTCTCTGTATTGTTTTGGAGGCTGTCCTAAAACTCGCTCTTGTAGACAGGCTGGCCTGGAACTCACAGAGATCCACCTGCCTCTGCCTCCCGAGTGCTCAGAGTGCTCGGATTAAAGGCCAACGCCCGACTGAGAAAATCTTTAAGCATTGTTAGTGGCAGTCACAAAAAAGGCAGTCCTGGTATTAACTCTTCAGTTTCTAAATCAAATGGCAGCCTGGTGGGGAGGAGTTTGACTGTGCGTACATGTGTGGGGGGGTGTTGTGTACGTGTGTGTGGTGTGTCTATGTGCATGTGCAGAGTGCACACTAGGGCTATTTACTAATCAAGCACTGCCCTATTTTAATGATTGGCTGACTGCACGGGCATCTGCTGGGACAAGTTAGCATATGTATCGGTGGTATCCTCCATGGTCGAATCTCAGTTTACCAAGTGAGAGAAAGAGGCCGGTCTCCCTTCCTCTAGCCCCCTGCCTCTACGTTGTAGAAGCTAAACACCTTTGAAATAGTCCTATGAAGAAGGCAGAGAAGGCACGGGGGTAGCCTACACTGGGAGCCCCGGGTAAGCAGTTTTAAGTGTCTGGTGGATCAGATGGACAGTCCCACCCAGTCTCCTCTCTAGGAGCCCTCTCAAATCCCCACCCCCTGCTGCCGCCGCCCACTGTATCCCGTTACCTCATAGTCCGGGTTGGGAACAGGTGGTGGCCGCTCCTTGTTTTGCCCTGCAGATGAAGGAGGGGAGAAACATTGTTTCCATTTTGAACACCAGTCTTGCGTGAAGATGGCTGCTAGGGTATTCAACCCAAGGGAGGGGCAGTCCTTTCCATCCTTTCTGTTAACTCCGTTTTCCATCCTTCCTCTTTTCTTTCCTTCCCCCCATCCCTAAGGCCTCCCACACTGTTCCCATCATCTGCGACTTTGCTCCTGCTCAGGTCTTCCCATTCTCTCTGCAGGGGGAACAAAGGGTATTCAACCCAAGGGAGGGGCAGTCCTTTCCGTCCTGTTAACTCCGTTTTCCATCCTTCCTCTTTTCTTTCCTTCCCCCCATCCCTAAGGCCTCCCACACTGCTCCCATCATCTGTGATGCTCAGGTCCTCCCATTCTCTCTGCAGGGGGAACAAAGGGGAAGAGTGCGAACTAACTTCCTGCCATCTCTGCCCATAGCTTGGGCTCGAATCTGCTTCCTGCAGAGTACTGCCAGGCATCTGAGGAAGCCTGCTGCGTTGTTGGTTGGTGTTGGTTTTCAGAGTTTTTTAGGGTGGAAGGAGAGGCATTTTCTTGAATGGGAAAGCCCTCTGCAGCGATCTTAGTATCACAGAGAATGTTCTAGAGAAGCTGTTTGGACTCCGCTGTAGACCTGCTTCCCATCCTGACCCCGGTCAAATCTCCCCAACCCTGCTCTATGGTTTTACCTCTGGGTCTGCCACCAGCACCGGTTCCTCGGCTCACAGGTTTGGCCTTGGCCTTCCTACTCTTGCTCCAGTAATAAACGACCATCAGCAAGCCAAGAGTGATGCAGATGTCAACGATGATGATTATGGCTACTGCTGTCAGGTCCACCTCCACACAATTCTCACACACTGCAGGGGGGAGGGGTGCAGGGAGGGAGAGAAATGACCCAAAAGGGAAAACACCAGGAACTGGGAGAAGAGGAACAAATGAAGACAAGTCCCCCCTAACACCTGCATGCCTGCTAGCACCAGATCCCTGCCCTGAAATAGTGTCCAGTGATTATGGTCAGAGGCTCTGGATTCAGTCTCAGCTCCATCACTCATTAGTTGTGGAGATTTTCAGCCCACTCTGTTTCTCATCACCAAATGGGAATAAAAAATGTGCTTGGCCTATATGGCTGATATGGGGAATGGTAGGAAAGGATTCCAGGGTGTGAACCTTGGGGGGTGGAGTTCAGTGGTATAGGGATTGCCTAGTGTGCCCTAGGCTCTTGGATAATTGAGGCATGTGTAAGGATTCCAAATGCACTACTTAGCTGAGTAGTGGCAGCACGTGCCTTTAATCCTAGCACTTGGGAGGCAGAGGCAGGCAGATCTCTGAAAGTTCGAGGTTAACCTGGTCTACAGAGTGAGTTCCAGGAGAGCCAGGGCAACACAAAGAAACCCTGTCCTGGAAAAACGAAAATAAAAACAAAAAGAAACAAGCAAAAACAAAAATAAACAACAACAAAATCCCCCCCAAACCAAATAGTCAACAAATCAGCTCTTGCTATTGTCTATTGTGATGCCTTGGCTTACGACTTTTAGGTAGTGGCATTGAGTCTCTCTGCAAGTCCTCCTAATGAAACATGTCTCTGATGCTGGTAAACCTTGATTTTGAGTATGTCACAAGGCAAGTATGACCCAAGCCTGCCTCTGGGGAAACTTGCTATTTTATACCTGGCACCAACTGAAGTGACCAAGACACTATTTAATCTGTTTTTCAGAAAATGCTGATACTGTGTGGTCTCCAAGAGCCAGGGACAGAGTGCAGGGGGGACTTTGAGATGACAGGGACCGGCTGGCTTGGGAACTCTTGAGAACACTGTTTGGGAAGGAGCCCAAGTTACCTCTTGCTTTCAGGTAGAGGTATGCGTTCTTCTCTGAGGACTCTAGGTAGCAGGCATAGTAGCCACTGTCCCCAACTTCCGAAAAATCCTGTAGCACCAGAGTTTTCTCATTCTCTTCAGGCAATACTTTGTCATTTTTTTCCCAATGTATGAAATCACTCTCTAGAGGGCATGTCAGTTCTATCCTGGTTCCTGAGATGGAGACTTTATAATAATCTGAGGAAAAGGAGAAAGGGGATGGAGGTCAGAGGGGAAATCCAGGAAAGTTTCACAAATGGCAGATCGGTACTGTGAGAGGTGCCAGGTACAGGAGATCTTGCATCACTGGGGTTGAGGTTTGCTTGGTGGGCAGAGGTGTCCTGACTAGAGAAACTGGGAGAGGGGTAAGGATGTGTGTAAGGATGGAAGGGCAGAGAACTTTCTGGAAGGTGACTCTAGAGTGTGGACACTGCATAAGGAGTTGGAAAAGGGGAAGGTGGAAGTAAAGAGAAGCCCACAAAACTCCTTATTTGATATCTTTCTAAAATAGATGTTGGGAATGTAGCAGGAAGCTCTCAGTTCTTGGGGCTGATCTCCCTCAATCCGTCTTCTCCCTTCCACCCATGGTCTGTATCTTCTGACGGGCGTAAATAAAGCTCTGTACACTCACGTTTCTGTGCCTCATTATCTGCAAATGAAAAAAGGGAGAGACAGTAAGAAAATAAGCCTGCTTTATGCTTCCACTTGAGGCAAAAACTTTCTAGCAGGAGTGGGTACCAACAACCCAAGAACTATAAATTCCAGAGATAAGGTCTGGATTAAGCCCCCCAAATATGCTCATGCATAATCCAGACACTTCACATTCAAAATACAGGGGCATGTGCTCCCAAGCCATAACTATGGCAACTAGAGTGTTAGAGTCACAAGACGGAAAACTCTTGGTCTGTTCTCCTTCAGCCAGAATCATCTTCCAGGTAGCTGTCACAGTGCCTTCAAGATAAAGACCTCCAAGCCTTTGAGTCACTGATCATCTATTTCCCATGATTTTTCTTTTTGAGACAAGTCTCATGGGGTAAAGGCGGGTCTCTCATATTTGGTATGAAGCTGAAGGTGACCTTCAACTTTTGATCTGCCTGGGATTCTAGGTACATGCCACATGGCCTGTAAATGCGGTGCTGGGGATTGAACACAGGGCTTTGTGCATGCCTGGCAGGCACTCTGCCCGCTGAGTCACATCCTCAGCCTCCAATGTCTGTCCTTAAAGCAGCTAATGAAGCTGCTTGTAATCAGCTCGAATGTCTTACTCAACATGCTTTCCTCCATATTGGCCCTGAATGACCCAACACACTCTGCAGATTAAGAGAATGGCTTTTCCTGTAAGGAGTGACCTGACTTTACATTGTCTCTGCGTATAATGAACTCTTCATTATTTGGTTGGAGGGAGGAGTCACAGCTGTGGGCAGCAGAAATCCACTCTTAAAAACCACACTCCCTATAGCAGGTATCGTTGCCCTGAGAGGTGGGCCAGCCAGCGGTCCTTCTGGAAAACTTGTGGTTGGATCCTGGACACTACTGGGATATGCCATAGCCCTTATATGACAGAATTTGAGCTGGAAGAGAGACAATGGTGGTGGCTAGAGCTCAGACACAGCTTGTTCCTGGGGGAAGACACAGGTGACTAGGCTGTGTGAGCAGGAACAAGTCACTTAACCTCTCTGAGCCTCAGGTTTTTTTCCTTTTTAAAAGTCTTTATTATTTAAGACATAGTCTTGCTCTGTCACCTTGTCTGGCTGGGACTTCACATGGCCCACTCAGCCAGCTGGCAGCTGGGAGCTGGGTACAATCATAACTGAGGATTACTTTGACTTAGTAAGCTTTGCCATTGATGTTTCCTAGAAAGTTTATGTGAGTCAGAAATCATAAATAAGATAAACTAAAAGTAAATAGACATTATACTATGTTTAGGAGGCTTGTCTGAAAACATGTAAAAAATATGCTTACAATCTTATTGGCCCAAGTTCAACACCAGAGTGTTGATTCACAAGGGTTGGGATGTCCATGTTTAGAAACAGGTAGGTTCACAAAGAATTTGTACGCATACATTTCTTACCCACATCCATGGCATTTCACACTGGGCAGGAAATTTAGTTTCCTATAAACTGTTTATCCCTCATTGATTGGACTATTTATTTCTAAGCCTTTCCCCCGTTACTCAGGGCAACAGCTAGAACATATATGGTCAACAAACTTTAACATTTCTTCTTCTATTCAAGTACCAGCCAGCTCTGTCTGTACTTCCAAGATTTATGTCTCCCCAACCCCTCTCTCCCTGGAACAGGGTCTCACTATGTATGTAGTCTTGGCTGACCTAGAACTTGCTATGTAGACCAGGCTGACTTCCAACTTACAGAGATCCGCCTGCCTCTTCCTCCGGAGTGCTGGGATTAAAGGTGTGTGCCACCAACACTCATTTAATTTCTTTAAGAAATATTTAAAAGAAACTTTGTATGTATGGGTAGGCTTGCTTGTTAGTATGCACACATACAGGGAAGCATGTATGCATAGCTCTAACCAGACATGGAAGCTAGTGGCCAAACCAGGCACATCTCAGACAGGTAACCCTAGTGTCCCTCTAGTAGCTCTGGTTCCCATTGTTACTACTACCCCCATGGTGGTCGCCTGATGAGTTTGTTCCACATCTGAGAAGAGGCTGCATAGAGTGACTCTCTTACCAGGGTTCTCGGTATCTGAAAGGGAAGCAGGAAGAGCTGTTAGTTATATTGTTAGCAGCCACTGAGACCCACCTGGCTCCTGTGCGTTAGGACCCTCCCCTCAGTCTTGAAGTTTCTTTGGCTGTATATGACAAGCTGTTTGGAGTCTTACATTCTACCTTCTGTATCTCGTGGCTGTGCACAGCATGGATGTAGTGGACACCGGTTACACACTTTAGGGGAAGGAGCCTGGCACAGTTGTTGCTACTGAATGCAATACTGCTTCTCTCGGTTTGGAGGCGCTGACTAAACAGAGAGGCTCCCAGGGTTGGGACCGTCTTGACTCTACTGCTCTGACTGAGAAAGTAAAGCTCAGACTGTGCACACATAGACACCCACATTCAGACTACTCAAGCACATGGTTGTGAATGCTACCCTAAAACTTGACCAGGGCCACCCTGTACACGCATTCTGAACAACCTCTTATCAAACAGGAAAAGAACGAAAACCATTGGTACTTTTAACTTTCTGTGTATATATGTATGTTAGTGTTCCTGTGCATGTAAGTGTGTGTGTGTGTGTGTGTGTGTGTGTGTGTGTGTGTGTGTAGGCAGGCATCAGATGCCTTCTGCAATACCTCTCCATCTCATTGCTTTTGAGACAAGGTGTCTCACTGAACCTGGAGCTTGATGGCTTGGCGACACTGGCTGGCCAGTGAGCCCCAGGGATATTTCTGTCTCTGCCTCCCCATTGCCTGGATTGTGCTTGCTTTTTTTTATGTGTGTGTTTTGGGAATTTAACTCAGGTCCTCATTCTTGTCAGTCAAAGACTTTTCCAACTGAGTCACCTTCCCAGCTCTACTGTAAACTTTTTAACAATTTTAAGTTGTTCATCATTTTCTGCAGTCCCTTTGTTCCAGAAACTAGGGTACATCTATGAGGCAAAGGAGAAGAAAAAATCTCTTTCATTGTTGCCCATGGAATCTCCGTGGGAAGCCTTGACAAAACTGTATTCTAAATACAGTTGGTTCTAGGAAATGCATTCGTTAGCAACTTGGTCATTGAATGAACACCATAGCACCCATGTACACAGACCTAGATAGCAGAGCCCACTGTTCACCTAGACTATGCAGTGCAGTGTCATGTCTACTGTTTATCTAGACTATACAGTATAGAGTGATGTATCCAGCCTAAAACCCTCTGCAGCATGTAATTATACCCAACAGGCCATCACAACATGACAGTAAGTATCTGTATATGTACACACAGAAAAGACACAGTGAAATACCAGGTGATGGAAACTTCCTAGTTCCATTATAATCATATGGGTCTACTGTTGTCTATATCATCCATCAGTTATAGACTGGAACATTGTTATTTAGTTGTGATGGCTGAATCAAGAATACTGGCATGACTTCATAGTAAAGAAAGAAATCATATCTTACCGTCTTGCCAAGTGCCAACTGGAAAACAAACAATTAAAAAAACGAGTTAGTAAATGCTGTGAATGCCTGAAATTATAAACAAAGTGTTGTGTTCCTGTCTTACTCTCACTGGCACCTAAAGTCCTTTTCACCCCATCAGTCATTTCTATACACCAGCAAAGGGTGTTGGACAGGGGTTCCCAGGCAATTCAGGAGGAAGCTGAACAGGAAAACAACTAACATTAAACACAAGTGCACGGCGCTTCACAAGCAGAAGTTAAACAAGTTGAGGCTCCTTTCTGGGTGGCTCAAGAAAGGGCAAACGAGCAGGGCAGCGTACTCTCCATTCTGAAAACCGCTCTCTGACTCAGAAGACAAGCAAGCCCCTGGTGGGTACAGCCATTAGGGTTCTCCGTCTCTGGCCCCTGAAAGCCTGACAGCTTAAATTTTCCATCTATTTTCTGCTTGAGACAGAGGTGGGGACATGTGAAACCCCGACTACTCGGCAACTAGAGCCTGTGCATCCGGGCTTTCCTGGACCCCCTCACTCAACACTGACTTGGCTCTCTCCTAGTGACGGTTTCCTCGGCGCTGCCTGAGCGTTTTGTTTACAGTCTCTGTATAGAGCAAGGAGTCCTTCTGTCCCCTGAGTACAAGGCACACCACTAGGGTGCTTACGTCTCTAATATTCCCCTTTCCTTCCCCCTTCCCTCTTTATTCTTGCCTTTATCACCTTTGTTTGCATTTGCTTATTTTGTGAGTAGGTGTTTGGGCACATGCATGTTACAGCACATGTGTGGAGGTCAAAGGGCAGCTTATAAGAATCAGCTCTCTCCTTTCACATGTGGGACCTAGGGATGAAACCCAGGTTGTCAGCCTTGGTGGGGGGCACCTTCACCCACTGAACCATTTCAGAGGCTCTCCTCTTTTAATTTATGTTTTCATCCACCTATCTATCTATCTATCTATCATCTATCTATCTATCGTTTAATTAAAGGGAGAGTATAATTTATACCATAGACCTCTAAGAAAATGCCTGGCTGTTCCATGCAGGAGTCATATTCCACCCCCAGAGACTTAGAGTGTGTTCCTTGGACCAGTCACAGATTACTAAACATGAAAGCTTTTTAGAAATATGGAATGTTGAAGGAGGTGATGGCACAAGTTTGTAATCCCAGAATTCTTGAGGCTGAGGCAGAAGGATGTTGAGTTTAAGACCGGGCAATCGAGAATGCATCATGAGGCTCTGTCTCACAGGCAGCCGGTCACCTCACCCAGCACCCCCAGTGAAGATGTGTGTATACTCATGCTTGAGAAGCCCAAGGTGAAGCCGGAAATGGAGGCGCAATGGCTGTGGCTCTGAGCGAGGAGCCCAGCTGTGGCAGCACGGTATTTTCTAGGTCATTGACGTAGAATGCTCATGAGCCATTTTGACTCACAAAGTGCAGTCCTTCTGAGCACAGGCCTTGTAGACAGGTACCCCTGGTTTCCCAGATAACTGCTGGGCTTGCTGACTGCTTAACATTGAATAGTTATTCAGTCCTTCAGTGACAACTTCATCTGTAAGTCAGGGGCTGGACCACCTTCTCCCAGGGAAGAAGTAAGAATCAAACTGGTTAACCCATGTAAAGTCTTTTCTTCATGCAGTGCACACAAAAAGACTTTTGTGTGTGTGTGCACGCATTATTTAATCTCACACGTGCTCTCAGCTATTTATCAAATTATACCTCACATCGCTTCAGAAAAATGACAAAACTAATTAGAATCTCTCGGTCACTTTTCAAAGACTGGAAATTACAAAGGGTTTGTCTCAAGGACACTAAGCTGAGCAGGGCCGAGGTCTACCTATCACCTCTCCCCTAAACCAAGACGAGCTAACCCTGCTCATTCGATTAAGCAGTGCTGAGTCTACAGACAGATGGTTCTCCATGACAGACAGGCATCTTCCCTGTGGTTTCCTGTGTCTGTCTCCGGCACCTGGGCCACATTTCTTTTTTGCTTCCAGCCCTTGTCTCCCCTCCCTAATGGCATCACCAACAGTTCCTGAGCCTTGCAATGTCCTGGAAGAGCACCACCGGACTTCATTCCCGCCTACTCACCTACTAGGAGGCTGAGGCCCAGAACTCTCCAGAAGGCGTTCCACCGCATCCTCCTCAGAAGGCTCGCTCTACTAAGATGGCGGACACAGCCAGCTCATTACTTCTGAAAAGGAAACCAGAGGAAGTTTTCAAAGTACTGGCTGCATGTAAAGACCCCGGATCACCGTTTGCAGCAATAGGATGAAAAGCGGGGCGCTTTACCAGGAGAGACTTACCATTTCTGAAGAAGCACGAGCAGAAGGCAGGGGAGGTGAACCCCACACAGGAAGTGTGGAGGGGCCTCTGGGTCTGCCTGCTCCACGTCACTTGGAAATGTTTGAGATGTTCGAAGCAGAAGCTTTCACCTCGGTTGACTGAGGAAATCTGGGCCTCACAGTCCTCCCATAAGGATGAGCAAGGGGCCCTGGCAAGCCCTGAGAGTTCTGTGAGAAATACCTACCTGAGCCCTGTGCAAAGCGTCTCCACACTGGCGGCACCTTCCTGACGCAAAACCCCACCAGCTGGGAAGGAAGGCATTGAAACACTCAGTATCTGTCTTCTTTATGGTGCCCTTCGCTTTGAGCTGCAGGGTGGAGCCATGGCAGTAACAAGATCTGTGAGGGGCTTTGTTTTTCTCTCTTTCTTTGAGACAGGATTTTGCTATACAGCTCTTCCGGGCCTTGCATTGCACCGACAAAGCAGGCATCAAACAGTGAGCTACTGACACAGCTGCCTCTCTGTGTCCTGACATCATGTTAAGGGCTTTACTCATATACCCACTAAGGGAGCAGCCATTAATGTTATTTAAAATCTAGCAAAAGCACTTTGCGAGTTACAAGAAGGATCTCTTTCTTTGAAAAAAAAGCTTTTATTGAGTCTATTCTTTGATAATTTCATACATGTATAACGTGCCTTCGGATTATTAATTTACCTTTCTGAGCAAGTCTTTTCCAACATTTGTTTTTTTTTTTTACATTATTTACTTATTGTATGTGTATGTGTGTGGACATATGCATTCCATAATGTGTATGGAAGTCAGAGGGCAACTTGAAGGACACAGTTCTCTTTCCACTATGTGAGTCCCAGGTTTCAATTCGGGACTTCTGTTTTTTAGCCACAAAAATGTTTATCAGTTGAGGTATCTCTCTGGCCTTTTAAAAAAAACCGGTATCTACTGGGTTTAACCAAGATTATCTGTGTGACAGTGGGTTTGGAACAATCCGCTGGAGCCCGATGAGTTCCTCTGTCAGTACAGGACTGAAGAAAATGACTGCCCTCTTCCAGAACCCATCAGCAATCCATAGTTCATCGGAAGGCTTAGGGCTCCATAAGTACCTCCCCAGTCCATGACTGTTGTTAGGCCCAGCCAAATGTAGATCAATTGCTTGCAGCTATGGCTCCTATAAGACCATGACTGCATGGGCTGCACCGGGCCAGAAGACAGCATTTCACAGCCTTCCTCCTATCTTCCTATGTTTGTATTCTTTTTGCCCACCCCACATAAGCGATAGCACCAGATTCTTTAAAGATTCTTTGTGTGTGTGTGTGTGTGTGTGTGTGTGTGTGTGTGTGTGTGGAGTTTCAGGGTGTGAGCACGTGTGGAGGTGCTTGTGGAGGCCAGAGGTTGATGCTGAGGTCTCTTTCTCAGTCTCTCTCCACCTTATTTTCCCGTCAGGACCCCCCCCCCACACACACACACCTTGCTATCTCACTCTCTGGCTCTTGCTCCTTTTTGCAAAAAGATGACCTTTTATTTATTTTTTGACAATTTCATACATGTATACATTGTATCTTGATCATGTTCACCTCCATTTCTCCCTTTACTCCCTCCAGACACTCTCAGTCCAACCCTCCCCCATGCCCCTGCAACTCACTGAGTCTAAATTAATGCTACCTGTCGCCATGCCGCCTGACTTTGTTGGCTTTGTCTTGAATAGGTGACCATTGCTCCAGTGGGTTCACGAGTGTTATGGCCATGCTACACCCAGAAAACAGCCTTTCACAGCATGCCTCACTGTCTGTGTGCTCTTACATTCTTTCTGACCTCTCTGGGTCCCAAGGGATTGAATTTAACGTCGTGAGGCTTGGTGGCAGGTTCCTTTCTCCACTGAGTCATCTCATCAACCAGATTCTTTAAGATTTTTTATATGAAACAGCTTAGTTATGGGAGTAATACACGTGCATATTAAAAAGTACGGAGTGCAGGAGGTCTATAAAGCAAGAGCATCATACCCCACCCCCTCCCACCCCATGCCTTTCCCCGGGGCGGAACCGCGTTAACGGACCCCTTCCCTCTGGGCTTATCTTCACATCTCTAAACGTGCACTGTCCCCCTTTAAGTTCTCTGGGAAACGAACCCTGAGGTGGAGAGTTGTGTGCAGGTGGCTCATGGGAACACAGGACACCTGCTAGACAGGGAGGGAAGCCACATGAAGGAGAGAGAAGGTCAGCTTCAGAGAGGCAGCAACACAGAGGCCTCAGTCAACGCCGTGGCAAAGGGCACATCACCCAGTGGGAACATACGCTGTTCCAAGGAGGGGGCGTGGACTTGGGTGAGGCAGCACTGTGGCTGGGCTGTTTGTGACCCTCAGGGGACATCAGTCCTATCAGCTTGTGTGAAGAGTGCGAGATGTCCTGAAGAGGCCTCTTAGCTGGTGCCACGAAGGCCCACGCAGGCTGCGCTGTTCCATCCATCTGCTCCCCCTCATCCTCAAGTAGCCTTTTCAGGGTCTTGATTGATCTTTCTTTTGAAAAAAGATTTTATGTGTGTGTGTGTGTGTGTGTGTGTTTTGCCAGCATGCATGTAAGTGCCCCATGTGTGTGCAGTACCCGAGGGAGCCAGAGCAGGACATCAGATCCTCAAAACTGGAGTTACAGACTGTTGTTAGCTGCCAAGTGGGTGCTAAGAACTGAACTCTGCATGAGCAGCAAGTGCTCTTAACCTTTGAGTTAATCTCTCCAACAAGATGTTTTGTCTTAGGGTTTCTATTGCTGTGAAGAGACACCGTGACCATGGCAACTCTTATAAAGAAAACATTTAATTGGAGGGCTCACTTACAGTTTCAGAGGCTCAGTCTATTGTCATCATGGCAGACAGACATGGTGCTGGCTACATCTTGATCAGAATGCAACAGGAAATGAACTGTGATCCTGGGTGATACCTTGAGCATAAGAGACTGTCACGACTGCTGCGCGGCCTGTGTCCGAGAACATGCGGAGGGTGTCGGGTATTGATAACACAGAGACTCGTTCAATGATATAAAGAGAACTTTAAACAGGCTCCAAAAAGGTTCAAGAAAAACTTCCTAAGAAAGGCTCCCACCAGAGAAGCCTCTGCTCTCTCCTCTCCCCTGGCTGGTTCTGCTCTGACACCAGAGGTGGATGTGTGTGGGTTTTTGAAGGTGCGGTTAGTCTCTGGACAAGGTCGAGGTCAGGGCGGTTTCTGTGGGAAGGCCTTTCCCAGGAACTTATTGTATCATTTTTAGTAAACATGTTTTTACTAAACATTGTCTTACAGCTGCCTACTCCCAGGCAGAAGGGGAAGTGGCCAGGAACTTATTGTATCGTTTTTAGTAAACATGTTTTTACTAAACATTGTCTTACAGCTGCCTACTCCCAGGCAGAAGGGGAAGTGGGTCTCTGCTCAAGGTCTGGTGTTCCCACAATTCACCCCTTTTTATTTTCAAATGAGGCACTCCTGGCTTAGGTCAAGTAGGGTCACCCTCCCTTTCCCGTCTTTGGGGGACCTTGAACCCCTGTTTTAGGTGGGAGGGGTCTTCCCCACAGGTTGCCCGTCATCGGAGATACCCCAACCTTAAATCATCTGTAACCAACCTTCATGGCTATTGGGATTGCCATGGGCTAAGCTAAGCAATACTTGGTTACGGATCTCTTGTCTCTGGAACAAGGCACGTTTGAGCTTGGCATAAAGCCAGAATGCCTACCGCCACTGCCACCATTTCCAGGACCCCCATTGACATAGCGCCTCTCCATCACCATACCCATCACCAGATCTGGGCCATAACATTCTACCAGCCTTCATCTGTTACAAGGGTAACCCACATGTGATTTACATTTACAATTTGATAAAGTTTCCAATCGTTTTAAGATCTGCTCAGGAAAGCATTTAGAAAGTGCACTTGCACAGATACATTAGGTACAATCATTGATGTTACACATGTAGCATTACGAAAAATATGAACAATAGTTGTCGCATTAGAACAAGTTGCATTTCTCCAGAAAAATACACTGGCCTAGTCGTGATTCCAGAAACAGGAACCATCAAGTGACCATGTCCTGTTCAAATACTGAAAAGAGGCTTTTGCCACTCATCATAGTCCATACCAATGTCCAAATGCTTTAAATGGGTCCTTTTTTCTCTGTTAGCTTCATGATGAAAACTCATGGGTCCGGAAGGTTGATGCAGCAGGTCTGTTGAAAAATTGGAAATCTCGAACCGACTGTTTTCTCTCTTTCTTGGGCTCTAGATTCGATGACATCAAGAATCAGGAACACTGATTTAGGAGATCTCACTCAAACTGGCTTAGGTAGGCTCCCATGGTCTCAGGTCCAGTTTTTCTCTGCTCCATGCATCTCACTAAATGGTCTGACAGTTGCTGAAGCTCTATTCCTTTCCTGCAAGAAAACACAAACATGCCCTCGACCCCAAATTAGGGTCTTCTCCACTGTCTAGTGTATGGATGTCTCCATTTGATCTGAGCAATGGTTGCTCAAGTTCCATCATGCCAGAATCTGTCTGAAGCTCACTGGCATTCACATTATAAAATTTTTAAATGAGGAGTGTATTATTTGATGAGTCATGTGGGGACTGGGGACATTATTCCCCCTTTTTTATTTTCTAAAAAAGTTTTCTTTTTTGAACTGTTGAAGCTGGACCATAACAGTAGAAGGATTTGTCTACCCTCCTTGGTTAACTATCTAGGTAAATTGGGCTTACTAAATAACTTTTGAAAATTATTTGAAATCTGTGAGCAGTCTTTCCCAATCTAACCTGTAGAGCTCTCACTAGCTGACAAGGCCTCATTTGCATCTTAAATTTTCTGTTAAAACATTAACAGACTGGCTGGATGTTCCTTTTGGCTATATTTAAAGCAATATAGGTAGCTTCTTAACTATTTTTGAAGGGATTTAAGTATCCTTTTAATCATATAAGCAGTTCACACTCACGCATTCACAATCACATTTCATACATACCGGTGTGGCCACACCATACATTCAGAACATACATGCATCTTTTAGTCATCCTTTTTCCCTAGGTCATGATTAGTCTGTTGCAATGAAATTCCCTTAATTGAAATCTATGTAAAAGAACAACTCCAGCCAATCCTTGAACTAAAAGGTTAAAAAGTCCTATATGTTTTTATCATTCCTCCATTTGGG